ATTACTAATAAATTTCAATAATAATTACATCCCTCAAAAATAATAGTTACAACCTTACTTTTGTTGGCACCCCTATATTGACAAAGAGAACTGGATTTTAATCTAAGTCTGGATTTATTATGAGTTTATTCAGGGGAAGCACCTACAACCATAGAGCATTAGTTCTCATTAGTACCATTTACCCGCCAAGGTTTAGTTTGTCTGTTCTGGGCTATTGTAGAAACACAGTGGTTCAAAATGGCGGGATCTACAGAAGGGGACTTGCGGCATTTGTAGATAGGCTTGGAGAGTAACGGATTACTTGTAATTGAGTTACATAATCAGGATACCAAAAAAATGCATAATTGCATCAATACTTCTTATTGATATTTATTTTCTCTAGTCTTAATTTGCATATGTGGTGTTGAAGAAATCCAAAAGTAATGGAAAGTAATCCAGTTACTTTAATATTGTGATACTTGGATTAGGTTACGTACTATATTTTTAAAGTAACCCTCACAACCCTACAGTCTACAGTCTGTAGATACAAACGGCTCATTCCAAGGTACAGAGAACACAACAATTCAAAGAGGGCACCTCTACGTTTGTCTGCTGCCTCCATCCACAATTTCAAAAAAAACGAACTATCCCTTTTAGAGATCCATTCCTAATGTGTTTCCAGTGTAAGTGATTGGGGACAAAACCTAAAGTCCTTATGAATGATGATAATATGAGGCTTCAGCAGTCTGAGTTAATCAAGTGGATTTCCTCTTTGTGTTTCGTCCCTCCACCTAGTTGGGAAACAAAGAGGCTGCTGAAGCCTCATATTATCATCAGATAAACTCTGGAGTATATTTTTTGCTCAGAACCAGGACGGTGAATTTTGTCCCCAATCACTTACATGTCCAGCTTGAACAGAAGGAATAAGACTGCAAAGACTTATGGCTTGTGTTTGGATCTGTTTGGTTTGAGAAAGTATTGGCAGTTATGGCATTAGCTACGGGCGTGGTGTGTGTAATGACGTGTGTAAGGTCTCACTGATTACTATTAAAAACACAGCCTTACCACTTGTACAAAAGATCAACTTTATCTGCAATTTGGGTGAAACTGGATTATACTTAATGGAGAACATGTTGTCTGGTTGGACGTCCTCCAGCTTCTCTGCCTCAACTCCGCTAACTGCTACTGTAGCTGACGCTGAGCAACTGAATGGGGCTCAGCAGCCTCCCAGTGAACACAACCTCTTGTTGCTAAAGGAAGCTAACTGTCGCTAAGAGTAATGTTAGATGTCGTTGTTAGATGTAATTCTAACCAGCAAGGAGACTGAACATTTAGTTCATTTGACAAATGTAACACGAGTTTCGTAGTTCAAAACAAGAAATAAATAATAAACGGAATAAAGCATCTGACAGATACGAGCCCTGCTGCTCAACTCAGAGACACAATTCAACTGAAAACACTGGCTATAATCATCATCCTCTCAGAATTCGCTCTGCATTTACAAACACTCAGATGATACCATTGAGATCTGTCCTGTGTACTTTTTGACTCAGTTAATTGCACAGAATAGAGTGAGACCAGCAGTGAATGGGAGCTGTGCTTTCTCTGGAGCGAGGCAGGGCCGTTTCATACAGATGGAGCTCAGCGAGGGAGACGGAACAATCGGAGCAGCTGCAAGAACATAAGAAGCTGCGATGAAAATTGGCTTCAGGCTGCGCTGGATGAACAAACCACAGTAGCATCATAATGGGTTCTCTAATTGCAGTTCATCACGGCAAGAACTGCTTTCATCAGAAAATACTGGTGGGGGTGTGGTGATGCCTTCAGGTGTATGACTCAATCAGGTGGTAACACAGTTTGAAGGCTGATAAACGCTTAAAAATGTAACTTGTGTAGGAATGATTTGTAAATAAATTATAGGCAACAACCGTCAGTGCAGGATGTTAGGGATTTCTCTGTGACACTGTGGCAGCATCAAGTCCTCCAAATTGTTTGTCCATGAACAGGTAAGAGTTCTCTAATGTGACGTATGGCTTGTCAGCACCCTCCCAAATAATCATAAATCACAAGTCGGAAAAAAACGTTTTTATGATCCGACAGCGCTGTGATTAAGGTTTGGTTAAATTTAGACATAAACACAACCTTGTTAGGGATTGGACACCTGAACATTAAAGATTATACGAAATTGACTTGCTACTGGATGTCGCACTAGAGCATTGTCTTTCCAACAATAACCAACACTGGCATGGTCGAAATAAACCCTTAATTCCCAGAGTTAGAACAAATGCGGCCATCAAAGTCGGTCCACTAAAAGTTGTTTTCGGCACTGACAGGCTCAGATTACTCTACGTGTCTGACAGCATTATGTAAAGGATCCATAGACCTTCACCAAGTCTGGTTTGGTGAAAATATATTCTTAATTCACTAATGTAGACATGGAACAGACGGCTATGTAAACGAGCATGGGTTTTGATGGAATAGTTGCACCACAGAAGACAGCCATCAGCCATTTTAAGTGCAACAACAAAATGTTTAAAACCAAGATGGCTGATGGAAGAGCAGAAACGCTCAGGAATATCTTATCAGTCCTTCTATAGCAGGAGACCGTTGCAGGTAAATAAAATGTAGTAACAACAAGTAACAACTGAGGATTAATACAGTTACAATTTCCAAGTACTGATGAGAAAATAAAGTTACAAAAATTATAATTAGTCAAACAAAAACAATATTTTGTACAGATTATTTGAGTAACACAGCGTATTTATATTTGAATATATAAGATGTTGTTATAATTCATATATGAAAGGGTTAATGCATCTAGAATAACATCTTTTATACCCGCCAGTATTGCAGCTCAGTTGTCATCAGGCTACTTCCTGCTCTGCTTGTGAACGTCATGTCCAACAGACGCTCTTGTTGGTTAAATCCAACAATGACGTTGTTTTACGTACTGTTGAGCGGCAGTGGCACTGAACCTGGTGAATGCAGATGTGTTGTAATATTCCCAATCCATCAAACATGCTGAGAAGTGGCTGTCCATTAGTTAATGGAGCGGAAACAGCGGAGGGAGAAAGCTGTAATCGGATCTCCCTCTCGCTCCTATTCATGGTTTCTACAGTCCGCCTGCCTCCTTCCTCCCATGTCCTATTTGTCATGGATATAATCTCCAATGAAATCTTATTACTCCGCCTTCCACCCCCCCCGCCTCCCTATCTTTCTCTCATTCACGCCTTTTCCTTCTCTTTCACTCACACACACACACACACACACACACACTCTTCCTCCATATATATATAATTTTGTCGAGGACTGTGGACTATTAGCCTTCATTAATTATTAATATACATGAATAAGGATTCATTTCTTTGTGGAGGTAAAATTCACAGGTTCATGTGGAGAATAAGAATAAGAAGGTTATAAAGAGCTATAAAGATCAGCCAAGAGGTCGTTACTTCCTTTCATAAACAGTAAATGTGACCATGTATTTTGAATTAGAAGAAGCCAAATCCCACACCACAATGTGTTCAAACAGACAATAAACAAGCCTGTGAACAGGAAGTGAGCGAATGGACACGCTGTTGTTTGTCAAGAAATAGTTCTGCTGTGGAGGGTTATTCACATTTCATAAACAGGTTCATTAATGTTATTTAAAAACTCTTTAAAAGGTTTTTTCGGCCAGTCAAACACTATTGAACAATTATTGACATTTCTTTTGACAAATTCATGATTGAAAACCTGTTTGCAGCTCATTTATGATCAATGTGGTGACATACTTAGTTGGGTTGTCACTTTTAATCGGAAATCGAAAAATGTATTAATTTTCGAAGTGTAATGACTTCTTTCTAATTAAAAATGTACAGTAAACTATTAATGTTATATTGTCTACTACAAAAAGGAGGAGCAAAGAGCGAATGGGGCAAATTTCTTTGCATTTACTTTTTACGCAATTTACTCGCGCAAATAATTTGAATTCCATTTGGTGGGAACGCAGCACAATGCTTAGGTCGCTTGTTTGTAATAACCACATCTTCACTTATGAAACTAAGATACAGGACCTGCACATCAATATGTATTTCATATCCACAGATCGTTCTCAGATACGATCTGGGAGTGGTTGGCGTCCATGTTTCCACACTGTCTCCAGCACTGTTGCTGTGCCTGGGTTTCTTTACTCTTAACGTGGCGTGAAATGAAAAGACGGATAACATTTTTACAACCAAATTCCCTCCCGTTATTCACCAGGCTCAGTTTCATCATAGTTAAAATCATAAAACAAACAAAACAAGGGCCCTAATTTGCCAGAAACAAATCTGTGGGTTGACATCAGTACCTGTTGAACTCAGCTGGGTCTGTTTTATAGAATTAACTTTCAGGTCTGTTTTTAGGAGCCTGTTTTGGTCCTGAAAGCCAAAACCTGTTGCCTAGTAACCACCAGATTTATCCTGCCCACTGCTTATAAATGAAAGATTAGAAAAAGGCTGACAAATCTTATTATAACGTCTGTGCTCTTTCATCACACAGTCAGGTCAGACTCGGTTGAAGAGCAGGTAAACAGGTTCATCACACGGAGCAGCAGCAGTACGAATACACACGAACAACATGTTAGAAACCTCCAGTGCTTCAGTGTGTGTGTGTGT